GCAGTATATACAATAAGAATCTCATTATTTGAATGTGTGAACATAGCCCCGCTCTATGAGTGAAAACTTATACCTGATCCGTCTTCTGCGCAGTTTCTTCATATTGCGTTTGTACAGAATAACACAAAATTAGTCAAATAACAAATATTGCAGTACGAAATATCTCCATGCTGAGCCTTTTTTGCACTTCCTGATTTCCCTACTTGAGAATCCCTGTCCAATGAATGGACGACCTTAGCACACGTGTGGTTTTGTTTACAAATTTTGGTTCACTTGCAAAAAGAGCAGTGTGAAAGCGAACCGTACCAAAAAAAATGCCTTAAAATGCTGTCTGCTCACTAGGATTTGGTACAAGCTAAAGGCTCAGGAGGACAAACTGTTCTCCTAGGGACATAAATCTTATCTGGTTTCCATGGTGACACTTAGTAATGACCCAGTCAAACCCTTATTTTTTAGTCAATTTTGATGTAATTCAGATGTTCTGAAGAGGAAGGTTGTCCTGATCTACCTCATTGACTTATCCTCTTTGTCTGTGATTACATATGTTTACGATCATCTGGCTGTGCCTAATTTCTTCTCCCTGGTACACAATGTTAAAACACCCAGAATACATCTGTCAGCTTTCTGTTGCAATCATTAATATAATGTCATTAGAGAGAGAGAGAGAGAGAGAGAGAGAGAGAGAGAGAGAGAGAGAGAGAGAGAGAGAGAGAGAGAGAGAGAGAGAGACTGACATACAAATGATCTACAAACAAAGAGATTTAGTAGGATTTTCCTAACAGGATAGCTAAATTGGGAGTTATGGCTTCAGTCTGGTCTGGAGTTCATCTTGGGATTTGTTTTTCAATTTCTTTCATTTGAAATTCATTTGCATATCCCCTTCTTTTAAATTATTTGATTTCTAAAAAAAAATACGTTTTTTTAATCACAGATTTGTGAATAAGCTTTTGAGTATGACAAAAGAGACAGAGGAGGTGTTACATCATAAAGAACAGTACTCAAGTCAGACCATGTGCCAAAGAATTATGGTTTGTTTGCGTCACTGAAATAAACCCTAATCTCATGTTAGGACAGAGTATGTGTGTTTAAATCCTACTGTAGCATGTTCTAAGTGTGAACTTTTTTTCTCTCATTCCTTCTCTCTTTCACACACACACACACACACACACGGACATAAACGTGTAAACATGGTTTCCTGTAGGAACAGAGACAGGTGTGTTACTGTGGCTCTTATTTGCAAGAATAATGAAAAGAGCCTTTGTAAAAATTGCTGAGGACAGTGTATTTATTGTTCATTTATTCTAAATGCACTAAGATTGTTATTTATTCAAGCATATTTAATTTGTGGTGCCACTTGAACAATAAGGGAAATCACAATATGTGGGGACACTGAATTGATAGGATGCCTGTATTTCTTGGATATATACACTACCGTTCAAAAGTTTGGGGTCGGTACGATTTTAAATACTTTTAAAAGAATTCTCTTCTGCTAACCATGGCTGCGCTTATTTGATTAAAAATACAACAAAAATCAGTTATAGTATTAAATATTATTCCAGTGTAAATCAGCTGTTTTCTGTGTGAATATATAGTAAAGTGTAATTTATTCCTGTGATCAAAGCTGAATTTTCAGCATCACCAGTGTCAGTGTCTTCAGTGTCAAATGATCCTTCACAAATCAGTATAATATGAGGATTTGATGCTCAAGAAACATTTATTATTATTATCAATGTTGAAACAGTTGTTGGTCTGTCAGTTGTACAGTTTTTTTTATTTTTTTTATTTTTTTGATGAATAGGAAGTTCAAAAGACTTTTGTAACATTATAAATGTCTTTACTGTCACTTTCGATCAAATTAATTATTCCTTGATAAATAAAAGTATTGATTTCTTTCCTCCAAAAAAATAAAAATAAAATTCTCACTGACCCCAAACTTTTGAACGGTAGTGTATATACAGGTGAAACTCAAAAAATTAGAATATCGTGCAAAAGTTAATTTATTTTCAGTAATTCAACTTAAAAGGTGAAACTAATATATTATATAGACTCATTACATGAAAAGTGGGATATTTCAAGCCTTTATTTGTTATAATTTTGATGATTATGGCTTACAGCTTATGAGAACCCCAAATTCAAAATTAGAATATTGTGAAAAGCTGCAAGCCATTTTCATAGCTGCAAGCCATACTCATTAAGATTATAAAGGCCATTTCCCAGGCCAAGCAGGGAGAGTGGATGAGATGGGAGAGTGTGGAACAACGCAAGATGGGCTGGAAAGACCTTTGGTCAATGGAAGAGAGTAGATCAGTTTCCTTATCAGGTCAACATATGATGTTCTCCCATCACCACAGAACCTAAACCTTTGGGTAGGAGAGGATCCCTCTTGTCATTTGTGTTCATCACCTGCCACATTAACCCTTTAGGCGCCAGAGGTTTTTTCCTAAAACGTTCGATTTTGCCATCTTAATTTCAAAAGGCTATATCTTAAAAGTGATAAAAGATAGAGACTTTCTGTAAATTAGAGAAATATTAAGGATGACCCAAAGTTTATGTAGGGATTACATTTTCCCATCTAATTGGCATATTATGACGTCATATGGTGGCGGCAATCTTGGATTATAGAATTTTCATGAAAAGTCATGTTTAAATGATAAAATGCAGCACTTCTTTCCCCCCAAAATGTCCATCACCTTCTGTATGCTATATTGCACAATACTGAATGCTCAGGTATATAGTAAGTAGTAAACAAACTGTGTAAATCATTACTAATAAATGGTAGAAACAAACCGAATGCATGTAGTGGTTGGCCTTTTGCTGTAGAGATTTTACATTTACTAAATACAGTAGGCACTCTGATTCCATGTATAGGGCACATATATATTATTCATATGACATACAAACACAAGTAGACAAGACCTGTTTAGTTCAAACGCTCACTCGCAACGGCAAGGCACAGATCGGACTACTGTCATTGTCATTGCGACTCCTCACCCTGCCTCCACGTTGCCTCCTAACTGTCCTATGAATACTTCGACCTCGTCTAACATACCCAGTGGTATTAGACAAAGTCTCCACCACAATACTGTCGCCGCGATTGCGGAGAGGCTCTGATAACATGGCTCACTCGCACATTAGCTCCGCTTTTGATCGCACTGATTCATTCAATGCGCACTAACTCGAACATTTTGTATAGAAACATGACGTTTTTTTGATTCGGGGATGAAGTATGACATGTCTGCCATCCAGTGGAGGGGAGGTCGAACGAAATGTGACACCCAATTTGACAAAATTGGCCGTTTTATTCAGTGCCGCATCTTGTCGAGTAAACTCGACCGTGGCGCCTAGAGGGTTAAGGCACATTTTGACAGGATGTAAGGTGGCTCTTAGCCAAGGTCGGTTTACTTGGCGCCATGACCAAGTACTGCGATGTTTGGCTTTAGCATTGGAAGGCAAGCATAACATGACCAATAAGTTGCCACCTGTTCTAGCAAAACATTACACACAGAAGACAATATTCCTCCGCCCAGGCAAGCAACCACCAAGAAAAGGAGTTAAAACCAATTCTCGCCCAGGACAACTGGAAGCTGCGATTGCCACCACTAACCTCCGACCAGATATTGTTTTGTGGTCTGGATCAGCACGCATTGTTCAACTGATAGAGTTAACAGTGCCATGGGAGGATGCTGTAGATGAGGCATATGAGAGGAAGAAACTGCGGTATGCTCATCTGGCCACTGAAGCAGAACAGCGAGGATGAAGAGTCCAGGTTTATCCAGTGGAAGTGGGTTGTCGAGGATTTGTGGCACACTCTACAACCCGGTTCCTCAGAGACGTCGGATTCAGTGGCCAAGAGTTGCGTCGCACAGTAAAGAACTTATCTGAAGCAGCAGAAAGGAGCAGCAACTGGCTGTGGTTGAGACGGAAATATTCTGGCTGGCTGTGTACAGGCCGCCACGCTACGGTTTCGTAGAATTCTTGAAAAACTCGAAGAGTCTGTTGGTTTATTTGTATAGTTTGCATAGTAATTACAGTTATTACGTTCCTGTGTATATTGCGTGAATGAGGGTTGGTGTTTGGACAGATATTGTGTTTTGCGGTAGGTAGTATGCCATACGGAACCGTTGCCACTGAACCTACTTTAACGAAGACAGTGGGGCTCGACAGCCTTAGTCAAACGGGTTGGTGCGTATGGTTGGGTTGCGGAGAGATTGTGGTTTTGTCACATGTGAACTACGAGGAAGGAGCAACCTCAGCAGCAGGAGGGATGTAAAGGTCAGTAAGCTGAGATGAGTTGAGTGGGGGACGGAGGGGGGCGACTCTGGGACGCCAGAGTCACGGTCGAGGTGTCGTGGGCTAGTCGACGAAACACTGAGGACGGAAGGTGCCCACTTGAAGACCCTAGAGATGTCTCCTACTCGGCTCAATCCAGACGGTTGTCGTGCTGGTCCACTGGGGAGGCCACACTGTAGTTGCAGCCGTTGTGTGTGCAGACGCGCCAAGTACACTGCAGCCGTTAACGCCGGACAGAAGGAGATTCACATCACCATATGGAAGGAAGCGTAAATGGATGGAGAAGCATAGGTTACTGTAAAGCTACGTCTTAGTTTGTGCTTATCTTGGCGAAAGCCGAGTACAAATCAGCATGAAGTTTTAACATCTACTCTCGTGTAATGGAAATCATAACAAATAAAGGCTTGAAATATCTCACTTATAATAATATATTAGTCTATATAAGTAGTCTATATGATATATTAGTTTCACCTTTTAAGTTGAATTACTGAAATAAATTAACTTTTGCACAATATTAAACATTTTCGAGTTTCACCTGTGTGTATATACGTATAGATAGATAGATAGATAGATAGATAGATAGATAGATAGATAGATAGATAGATAGATAGATAGATAGATAGATAGATAGATAGATTTAGATTCATTTATATCTCATTGTGGGTTTTATCTCATTTCTATCTCATTGTATTTTTTATTTTTTTTTGCAGGCTGAGTGGTTGTGTTTGAATTGTCAAACACAGAGAGCTATAGCTGGGCAGCTGGGAGACATGGGGAAAATATCAATATCTGACCCTGTATCCACAAAAGACAAGCCTACAGTCACACCCAAAACACAGCTCTCTGAGACTCCTGCACCTTCACAGGAACCTACTCAAAATTCCAAGACAAAACCATCTCCTGGAAAGCAGGCAGAGGAGAAAACCACTGTTGGAAAGTCAGCTGTGACCGCTCCAGCAGTCCCTGCACCTCTCTCTGTTGTTCCAACCACAGATAAGCTGCAGACTGAGATGACAGCTGTGGTGGCACCAATACCAGCTGCAGAGTCTCAGAAAGCTGTTATTACTGCTGCTGAGGTCACTTTGAAAGAAACTGGCAAAGACAAAGTCCCAGATGAGACACAAGTTGATAGAGGATCAATGTCTACGCTTCCAGCAGTGCCAATGGTATAGTATTACATACACATTATTGAGCAATACAAGAAGCTGTTGTTTTTTACCTTATTCAAATATTTGTTTATATTATATTATATTATAAAACGGTTAGTTCCAATCCTTGATTCTGATTGGTCAATAGCTGTGTTTTATTCACAATAAAACACGACTATGACCGCTTAACCCAACGGTTCTATGTATCACTACACAACACCCCTAGCAACCACTCTTGGCAACTTGCAACTTGGCAAACACATGTTTGATTGATATTGTTCATTGTATAGTAGAGTATTGTAAGAGATCGAGTAAGCGAGTGTACCTGCATTTACAGTAGATATAGCATTTTCCTTCAGGTCAGTCCTATATTCATAATAAAAAAAAATCTGTTTGAATGTCCGCTGCAAAATCTTGTCCTTTTAACAGTTAAGGGGTTTCCCTGTGCCGATAGCCATCTGTCAGATGCATCTTCCTTCTCCGCGATCACAAGTTCAATGTTCAAAGTCCTTTCAATGTAAAGTCCTTTCAATGTAAAAGTCTTCTCTACTGACTGACTCACTCATAAAGACAGTCTTTGCCGCCATCTATTTGCGAAATAATGTATGTAACTTCTGTTGGGGTTGCAACAGAAGTTACATACCGCTTCGCGTCATGCCTAACAACGCCCTTCTGCTGTGACTTACTCACGATACAGCACAGCCTCTCGTACCTTATTGCTTACTTAAATTGTATTGTTTTTTTTATGAATAGGAGGATGCATGTTTGTTTAAAGGAAACAACTACAGTAGTAATTTCATGTTTTTGGCGTTACAGATTTAATTTAATAGTTTTTTTTCTTTATTATACGCAGGTTAAAGAGGATACATACACTCATTCTGCAAAGAATGGACAACAAGAAGATGTTGAAATACAAATTGATAGCAGTATTTCAGAGATTTCTAAAGTAGACATCTTAAAAGCAGATGTTAAAGGGCAACAAAGAAAGGACATCATGCCGGTTTCGATAGAATCATACAGCTCAGCTGAGGAAGAGCTTAAGGAGATACAGAGAGTCAGTGAAATGGCCATAAAAGAAACTGCTACAAAACTCTTACCTGTTAGAGCACATGATAGTGTAAAACAATACCACGAGGACAGCAGTGAGAGTGAACACTCCCCTCAGATACAGAGAAGAAGAGTGATGCCTGCTTCCTCCAGCAGTGAGGACTACAAACTAGACAGTTCAAATTCTGGAGATGATGAAGAGTTCATAAGAAGACAACTTATGCATATGGGTGAAGATGAGAACTTACCATCTGATGATGAAAACCAAGTCAGAGAAGAGCAACAAACACAGCAGGAAACCAGAGAGGCCGAAAAATCTGATGATTCCATAAAGCATGCCCTAAAGAAACTTACTGTAGAACCTGAGGAGATTTATGATATCAGCCTGTCTTCTCATTACCAAGATGATCAAGTTGCCCAAGTCATCCCTGTTTCAGAAGCATTGGAAGAATCCATAATGAAAATAGATGAGTCAAATGACAATGAGAATATCACAACTACTGACACAGCTGTTGCCATTACACAAAAAAATCATATTAGACAGACCACAGAGGAGTATGAGAGTCTGATTGAAGACTTGTCCAAGGGTGATGGGTCTTCCAGTGTTCAGGTATCCAGCATTACGCCAGGAACAGCTTCTCCTACTTCTGTGTCCTCTATTGATGAAGACAGTGACAGTAGCCCAAGTGATAAAAAGGCAAGAGCAGAGAGTAAACAGCAAAGAAAGGCAAAACACAGACCACACGGCCAGGCTCTTCCCACTGTAGAGGACTCGTCTGAGGAAGATGAGTTACGTGAGGAGGGTGATCAACAGATGGAGCAGGAAGATGAACGTGATGATCAGCAGCAGTTAAGAAAGGTCACAAAAAAATTAAAGACAGAACGAGATGATCTGGGCATGCAAAGGAGACGTGATCATTTGACTAAAACTGATAAATTACAACTGGTTGCAGGGATGGAGGAACGCAAGTCTTCCTCCTCTGAATTTTCACCTAGTGTTGAATCTGAACCAGAGGATGTAGAATACAGAACATTATCATATGAAACACATGATGCTGCAGATAATCCATTAAAGAGTGCTGAAGAGGTATATGAGGAAATGATGGAGAAAGCACAGGAATACGAAACATCAGAGAAATGCACACCACCTGATATTGAACCATTATATGGAGGCATGTTAATAGAGGACTATGCTTATGAATCTTTAGTTGAGGAAAAAGACCAGGCTGCAACAGGTTTTGGTAAAGTCACCCATGAGCAAGATTTCAGAAAGATGTCTGAGCATGAGTCGGTCAGGATACTTATGACACCAGATGAGGCTTATGAGGAAATGATGCAAAAAAGGAACAAGATCTCGCAAACAGAAGAGGAGGCTCAGCAAACACATACATCAAAGGTCGACAAATCCTTGCCACTTTATGCCAGTGACACTTGTTATGTGACTATTTCTGGAAATGATGCTCTTACTTCAGATAAAAATGCAAAGCCAATGTTGCAAACAGAGGATGCCTATGAAGAGCTACTTAAAACACAAAAAGATGTTTTAACACCAGGATCAAGTCCAACACAATCAACTCCTGTGTCTCCCATCTCACCTCTGACTGTGTCTGAGTCATCATATGATTCCCCCGAGGTGATACTCATCCCTTCAAGTGGGGAAGAAGACAACCTAACTGAACCTATTGAGTGCATTTTGCAGCCTTACATTACAGAGTCAACATCTACTCAGGATGTATCTGTGTACAAAGCTTTATATCCAATTCCTGACTTAAAGATCACTCAGTGCTCGTCTGGTGAAGAGGAAGTTGAAGAGGAGGACAGTGTCACACAAGAAAAAATGTCACCTGAGACAAGTGATATTTCTCAAAGTGAAGGGCAACCTCAAACCCCAGAAGAGACATTTGAGTCTGTTCCCATTTCTGTAATCTGTGAAGTTCCTTCATCAAAAAATGTTGTGGAGACATCAGCAATATCACCACTGTCTCCTCCGACATCCCCAGCAGTCTCATCCCCAGATTCAAATATAGAACTTTCAGCAGGACGGTCATCATCCTCTCCAGTTTCTGACCAGACATCTACTCCAGCTAGCCCCAGTGTTGCTGATATTTCTGCCCCAGTTGTAATTCACATGCCGGACTTTGTGTCAGAGCAAGCCACAACCTACGTTTCACTTGCAACTGCTCCTATTGCATCTTCCACACAGATTATTGGATCCCCTTCACCAGACATTGCAGCCTCACCACATGTCTCAGAAAACTCTGGCACTTCGACTGAAACTTCTAAAGTTCTTGTTGCAAAGCCAACACTAGGTCCAAAACCAAAAATGGCTCCAAAACCAACAGTAATACCAAAGTCTACACAGGAAACAGTCCCTACTCCAGATAGGGTTTCTTCCCATACACTGTATTCAGCTCAAAAACCTTTGGCTGGTGCAATACATGAACCAACTCCAGTTGTTAAATCAGCCTCTACAGACAAACAAACTGTTGCACCAATGACTCAACCAAATGTAGAGCATGTGAAAACCCCTACAACTACTGTTGCTACACATATTGTTCAATCTCAAGAAGCACCTTTAATAGAAACTTATGTTGTTGTTCAAATGCCAGATCGTGTGCCCCCTGCATTAGAGCATCCAGTTCTAGAACAAACTTCAGTTTCAGAGCCTACATTGCCATTCACTGCACTCAAGAATCAGATTCCTACAACTACCCCCATTGTTGCCCAAATGCCTGACCTGGTCACATCTCCATCACAGTCAATCTCTGTGACTAGTCCAGTACCTTATCAAACCTATGCCCCACTTCCAGCGACAGTTTCAGCAGTGGATCAAGCACCTATTTCTGTTCCAACTTTGGTATCAGCCTCAATACCAGCAAATATTCTCTCTACAGAGCAAACCAGCTCAGTTGTTGAACAAGTGGCCACACCACCACCTCCCTGTACCACTATACCAGCTTTAGCAAGAGGCACTCAGCCACCGGCCAGTGTTTCTATTCAAATTCCTATTCAGAGACCAGTGATAACCAGATCAGACATGGCACCCACATTAGGCCAAGCAGCCCCTATTTCACCTCCAACAGATCACAGAGAGCATATTGCTGAAAAGACAGTCTCTGTTGTTTCTCCTACTATTACTACAACTGTTGCTTTTGGAGCTTCAACCTCCCAACCAGTTCAATCTATACTGGCTGATATTCAGCCAAGGATGGCAGAAATACTGCAGAAAAAATTATCAGATGATGCAATTTCTTCACAACAATCAGTTTCACAAATCATTTATCCTAATGTACAGACACAGGAAGATCAAGTTGCTGTCAGACTGCCAAATCTTGAAAATGTGGTGGGTAAAACAACTATTGAAGATGGGAGAGGCCACCCTGTTATTGTTTGTGTTTCTCCTTTTACTTATCCAGCCACAGTATCAAGTTTCATCACTGATTCAACAGTTCAACCTTGTATGGCATCTGCAAAACCTCATGTGTCTCAAGAAAGAACAGATAGACCAGTGATTTCATTTCCACCACCTCCCACAGCTTCACCACCAGAACTGCCATATAGGACATTGCCTAAGGCTGATTTTAACCAGCAAAAAACTGTTTCAACGCCCTCATCCGTTACAGTAACTCTACCTGAACCCCCAGCAAATATGGCCAACATGACTGCAATGACAGTTGTGACCCCAACACACAAATCACCACCCCCAGTTCCCCCCAGACCTGTCTGTATTCCCCCAGGACTGGTATTTAGTCACAGATCAAGAGAGAGCGTAAAGCCACCGGAACCAGAACCAGTAGTTGTTCAAGCAGTTCGTGCTGCAACTATGCCAAGAACAAGAGAACCTCCAAATGCATTGTCACTAAGTTTGGCTGCCCCTGTAGAGACCAAGCACAGTGCTTCATCACCAAAATCGCCCTTGTCACCCAGATTTGCTAGAACTCTTGAAACGTATGTGGTGATAACATTACCATCAGAACCAGGATCACCTGTGGAGGGCATTACAACTCAAGCACATATGGGAAGATCATCACTGCCAAGTCCCAGGCAGCAGGTTCCATATGATCCTCCAAGAATGTTTGCTCCAGCCGTAGTGGATGCACCCGTGTCATTAATTTCAGCACAAATTATAGCAGCCCGACCAAAGGCTATCTCAGCTTTAAATGCAGCAGCTCCCTGTGTGGTGATGGCACCTGACTTTGCTTCAGTCACAATGGAGACTCATTATATCACTCCAGCTGTAAATTCAACACAAAGTATTACAGCACCGTGTGTAACAGTTCCAGAGATGCCACTTGCTTCTGTACAAACATCGGTTTCAGTACCTCTTGTAGTGGCATCATCAGAAGTAGCACAGAATACGAATATTGTTTCTCATCTCTCAATGGAGAAAACAGTGCACTTCCCATCTGTGAATATTACATCACATGATGCAGCACCAGTTGTAATGGCATCTGCTGCTATGATTTCGGCAGCACCTGTTGCAGTAGCACCAGCTCCACCACCACCCATTGCCATGGAACCAACATCCTATCCAGCAATGATGTACACCACACCTTCCATGGGTTCTAATCTACCCATGCCTTCAGCCTCACCATCAGCCAAGGTGCCAGTAGCCTTAACCCCAGTGTCAGGAGTTTCTGCTGAGTCTGTTGCTCAGCATACAGTGAGTGATGTACGACAAGAACTTGAGATGCAACAAATACTAACAACATATTCTGTACCAATAACAATAACCCAGATTCCAATCCCAGCTCAGAATGAAGACATTCCTGGTTTGGATATGGAAGAAGTACTAATAGTCTCGGCTTCAGAAGAGGCATTGACTGACGTGGATCCCTCACCAGCTCCAATAAAACAGCCGGATCCCTCACCAGTTTCAATAAAACAGCTTCAAGAGCAGCAAACAGTTTATGAGCAAAAACAAGAAACTCAATTAGTGACTTCTGCAATAGCTGTGCCACCATTACCAGTCACATTTACCCAATTTACGAAATCTATTGAGAGTCAAGAAATACATGGACAAGATAAAGTTATATCAAGCATGAGCCAAGTCTACTCTGCAATCTCAACAACTGAGCAGCATCCTGACACATTGCCTAATATTGTTACCCAAGTTGTCACAACTGAAGTGCAAAGAACAACTGTGTCAGTTGTCCAGGAGAGGATTCCTGTCGAACCAATACCTGAACCTGTGATTGCTACAGTCACAGTCCAGCCAGAAGTCCATTCTAAGCCCAAACAGAATGGAAAAATACACTACGCTGGTGATGTTATAGATCTTACTACTTTTAAAGTCAATGTTACAATGACTGATCAAGGGATGGATCTAACAGCCCCAGATTCAAATAGGTCTTCCTTGTCAAGTGAATCAAGTGGACGACAGGCAACTGCTGTACAGCCAGAAATTGTGAATCTAAGTGCTGAAATAATCCCTACTACAACACTCTCTGTTGTTACTGATAGCATAACAATTGTCACTTGCACAGCTACAATTGCCTACAACAATAACACAGTTGACAAGCCTCTGGACCTGGGAAATGCTGCTTCAGGTCCACTTCCACTTACCGCATACAATCCATTTGAGCCACTTGCACAGATAGTGTACAGACCTGTGAATACTCAACCTAAGCCAACAACCAGTGCAGATATTCCTATTAATCTGTCATACAGAGCTGTGTCAAGCACATCTTCTCCTCTAATGCCTGTTTCTGTAAATGCCACTGCTGGTATGTCAATGCATACAGAGTCATCAACAGCTGGACCTGTAGACCTCACCATTTCTAAGACAATGAAAACCATGGTTGCTTTGTCCTCATCTTCTGGAGTGATTACAACTGTTGTGGAAGATGATGGTACACCAGTCGATCTTACATCTGGAAGGCAAACTGTTTGCTGTGATGTAATTTACAGGCTTCCTTTCACAGGAAGCTGCAGAACACAGCCACCTGTGACCACACAACCAGACAATCAAATTGGCTATCAAATTAATATTGCCACAACACCTGTTATTGAAGATCTCAGTACCATGAAGGCTTCGATATCAAACAGTAATTTCAAAGAAACTGGGCTCTTTGGGTATGAAATAAAGAATGGATTCACCTATCAGAATGGGGCATCTGAGGGGGCTATAGATTTAACATCAGCTAAAATGTCAACAGGTCAGTATTGCAGTGCACTTGTATCTTTTTTTGTATATTAATGTTGATAAATGTACTTTTTATTGGTCGTGTCCCTTATTTTTATGTTGTTTACTCTCTGAATGTCTTGATTTTCATTCTTGTGTTTTTCTGTTCCTTTTTTTAAACAGATGCATGCATTTGCCTTCGTGTTGTCCCTCAGTGTTTTGGCTTTGCATCCTGCTAATCTGATGACACTGACAAGAAATGTGCATGCTCTTTGGCTTCCATTTTATAGTCTATTAATGCTGCATGATACAGAGAAATTATCCATTTAGATGCTGATGCTGCTGCTATTTTTGTTTTCTTAACATAACAGAAGAGGCCTTAGACTTCTCAAAGAAAGGCACTTTGGAATTTACCGGGATCACCACTACTCCATATTCTCAAGGAACATTGTTTGGCATTAATAGTTTGCTAAGATCGACAAATGGCATCGTTTACTCATCTGTTGCTGCACCTGTTCCCTCCACGTATGCAATTACTACCCAACCAGGTTCAATATTTAGCACAATGTACAATAGTCTGACTGATACTACGGAGCCATTTTCAGCACTTCAAAATCAGCCTGCTCCATATGGATTTGTAAACACCACAGGCACAGACCAATCAATATTCCCACAATCTGATATAGCAAATGATATCCTACCTTCTGCATTAGCCAGTCTCCTTCCCTCATTGACTGCCTTCCCTGAGCTCTACTCAGATGCTACACTTGAGGCAATAGCAGCCTCCCTGGATACACTGGTATCACCAAATTTCCTTGATTTAGATGACAGCAAAAGCCAACAGTACAAGGCTGAACATGAGTTTTTACAATTAGAAAAGTTGAAGCAGCTGTGTCTAGCTGAAGAGCTTGAATGGGAGAGGCACGAGATACAGCGTTACCGTGAACAAGAGCAGATCATTGTTCAGAAGGAGCTGGAGGAGCTTCAGAACATGAAGCAGCAACTTCTAATGCAGAAAGAAGAGGAACGCAAGGCCCATCTGATTCTTCAACAAGAAACCTTTGCACAGCAGCAACTTCAGTTAGAGCAAATCCATCGATTACAGCAGCAACTCCAGCAACAACTAGAAGAGCAAAAGTTACACCCATATGGGTTTAGGCCAAGTGAGGGTATTTCACCACCCATGAGCTCAGACATTATTCTTGACTCAAAATATTCTGGGGGAGATAATGGGCAGTACTGGCCAGTGAAGGATGACAACTCAATGTCATCTGCAGTGTCCACCCATGACTCTAGATCAGGTCAAAACTGGCTAACAACTTCTGGGGCTTTTACACAGTATAGTTCAAACACTCCTGTATCAGTGAGTGCACAGACAAAGGAGAAGTTGCAGTTATCCACAAACCTGCCAGATACAGCCAGACAAGAGCAAAGTGTAGAGTTAAGTGGTAAGAAATTGGTTGAGAGTAGTGTTCAAACAGATGATGAAGATGGTGTTGAGAAGATTCCTTCTGGTAGAAGGAGAAGAAGTAGGAGAAGCGTAGATAGCTGTGTGCAAACTGATGATGAAGATCAGGATGAGTGGGACGTCCCCATTCGGAGCAGACGCAGGTCTCGTTCCAGTAGATATGTTGATGGAGAGAAGGGTAAAAGCTCCAAGGTTTCAAGTATTGCAATTCAGACTGTAGCAGAGATTTCGGTACAGACAGAGCATTCAGGGACAATTAGGAGATCCCCTGTTCGGGCTCAGGTGGACACAAAGGTAGATTTACACAGAGACGGTCAAACAGAAAGCGATTCAGATATAACATCAGACAGAGATAAAATATGTCAAACGCCTGCTGTGATAAGTGTTAGCACACACCTGACAGCTGATGACGTTGGAAGCTTGTTAGTTACCAAATCTCCAAAGGTATTATGCTCCCCAGTTTCACCAGTGTCCCCTGGGAAAAGCTCACAGAAGATGCTTACTGCTGATTCATCAAGGCTTCTCAGTAGTCCAAGATCACTAAGGGCCTCACAACGATCTCTGTCTGACCCCAAGTCACTCATTCCGACAACTGAGGACAGAATGATGTACCAGTACTCAGACACCTATTCAGTAAGTACTGCACTTTAAAACTGATTCACTCTTCATATACAGTATTTGTTTTATTTTGTCATCTCCTAATCATTGCATTACATACCAAGTTACCATGCTGTATACTGTATACCCAGATAGCAAGCAATCATTGAAACAATCTTGAGTCAATGTTGATGCGTCAACGCTAATTGCATTGAATTAACGTTACAAAGTGATGTTGGTTCAATATCTCTTTTGCACCCGCAATTAATGTTGAAAAAATTGTGACATTTCAACAAAAACATCAATGGTAATGCCATTGAATCAACGTTACACTATGATTGATTCTACATCACAGATGTTGAATCATTATTAAAATGAACACAAATAATTAATGGTAATATTGTTGAATAAATGTTACACTGTAAATGATTCTACATCACCGATGTTGAATCAATATTGAAATTTAACAAAAATTATCAACAGTAATGTCATTGAATCAACGTTACACTATGATGTTGATTCTACATCACTGCTGTTAAATTAACATTAAAATTAACAAAAATAATCATTTGTATTATTGTTCTAAATATTATTATTCTAAATCTCTTTTGTTGAAACATTGAAAATACACCTGAAATGTAGTCAACATAAAACGCCTCGGTTACGACTGTAACCTCGATTCCCTGAAGAGGGAACGAGACGTTGCGTCGAATGACGCTAAGGGAACGCTTTGCGTGATGATGTATTGAAGCACATGTAAAATCAGTCCAATGGTGTGACGGGACGTCAGAGGCGGGTGACGTCATGAACCAGGAAACTACATAAGCCGGTTCAAACCCAGCCGCGACAGCTTCGTAAGGTCTGAACAAGTCGCTTACAGGCACGTAGGAGATATGGCAGGTGACGCAACGTCTCGTTCCCTCTTGAGGGAACCGAGGTTACAGTCGTAACCGAGGCGTTCCCTTTCAAGGGAACTCGCGTTGCGTCGAATGACGCTAAGGGAACGTCTATACCAACGCCACCATAGCGAGAAGTGCCTGTCCAGTGTGAAATCAGGCGAGCAGCACTGGGACGAGAGCACTCGGGACCCTGGTGTAGAGTCCAAGTCCAGAGCATAAAACCTAACGAATGTGTGAGGTGAGGACCATCCTGCCGCATCACAAACGTCTTGAAGCGGAACTCCTGACAATAAGGCCTTAGAGGCCGCCATACTCCTAGTAGAGTGAGACCGAACAGCCATAGGGGAAGGCTGCCCGGTCGACTCATAAGCAAGTGAGATAGCCTCGACCACCCACTTGCTCATCCTTTGCTTAGATGCAGGGGACCCTTTGTTAGGGGGTCCAAAACAGACCAATAACTGTTCGGATTTACGCCACAGGGCACCTCTGTGGACGTAAGCATCCAAAGCCCTCACCGGGCATAGCACATTGTGCCTTTCCTGATCCGCATCCTGGAATGGAGGAGGACAAAAGGCCTGCAGCACTATAGATCGGGCCACATTAGTGGGGACCTTAGGAATAAAACCTGGTCTATGATGAAGGAATGCTTTGACCATGCCAGGTGCAAATTCCAAGCACGAGGGTGCAACCGACAGAGCCTGAAGATCTCCTATTCTTTTAAGAGAAGAAATGGCGAGGAGGAACAGAGTTTTTAACGTAAGAAAACTAGCTGGAACCTCCTCCAAGGGCTCGAAGGGAGCCTGGGAAAGGCCTTGGAGGACAACCACCAGGTTCCAAGTCGGAACCCTAGTGCGCACAGCAGTACTCAGCCTCAACGTGCCACGCAGAAAACGAGATACCAAAGGGTCTTTCCCCACAGACATTCCACCCAAAGGAATGTGGTAAGCACCTATGGCCGCCACATAGACCTTCAGAGTGGACGGAGATAGACCTGCAGTGAACCGATCCTGCAGAAACTCCAGCACTGTACCAACCGGGCAGTTAACTGGGTTCAGCTGACGATCACTGCACCATGAAGTGAAAACCTTCCACTTCAAGGCATAAAGTTTCCTTGTGGAGGGAGCTCTGGATTGTAGAATGGTCTCCACAACCTCGGTTGAGAGACCTGACCCTATGAGCTGGGCCCCCTCAGAGGCCAAGCCCACAGGTTCCACAGTTCGGGACGAGGGTGAAATATCAAGCCCCCTGCTTGGGACAGCAGGTCCCTCCTGACGGGAAGCTCCATAGGAGGCCCGTTGAGAAGAGACACTAGATCTGCAAACCAAACTCTGCCCGGCCACCGCGGGGGCTATAAGAAGCAGGCGCAGATGGTCCCTGCGAACTCTCTCCAGAACTCCCGGGAGCAGAGCGATCGGGGGAAAAGCATACAAACGTAGCCTCGGCCACGTCTGTACCATCACATTTAGTCCGAGAGGAGCTGGATGCGTGAGGGAGAACCAGAGTGGACAGTGAGACGTCTCTCGAGACACAAACAGATCCACTTGAGCCTGGCCAAATTCCCTCCATATCAGCTCCACCACCTCAGGGTGGAGCCTCCATTCCCCGGGCCTCGGCCCCTGTCTCGACAGGATGTCTGCTCCTATGTTCTGGGCCCCCGGGATATAAGCTGCTCTGAGTGAAAGCAGCTTGCCCTGGGACCACAAGAGGATTTGGTGCGCCAGTTTGCACAGTGGACGTGAACGCAAACCCCCTTGATGATTTATATAGGCGACCACCGATGTGTTGTCCGTGTGGACCAACACATGGTGGCCCCTGAGGTCTGGGAGGAAATACTTGAGAGCAAGAAAGACGGCCATCATCTCCAGGCGATTGATATGCCAGGAAAGGTGATGGTCCCCCCACAGACCCCGAGCCGAGCGTCCCTCTAGGATCGCTCCCCAGCCCGTGAGGGAGGCATCTGTCGTTAGCATCCTGCGACGTCAAGAGGCTCCCAGCACGGGACCCTGGGACAGGAACCATGGTTTCTTCCACATAACCAGGGCATGTAAGCATCGCCGCGTAACCTTGATCATGCGAAAGGGGTTGCCCCTCGGGGAAAACCCTTTGGTTCTGAGCCACCACTGCAAGGGTCTCATGTGCAGCAGGCCAAAAGTTATCACGTTGGACGCTGCTGCCATCAAACCCAACAGTCTCTGAAACTGTTTCACAGTAAGCGACTGGCCTAGCTTTATCCTTTTTACGGCTGACAGAATGGTCTCTATGCGTGCCGGAGACAGACGCGCCCGCATTGACATATAATCCCAAACTACCCCTAGATAAGTGGTCCTCTGTAATGGAGAAAGTACACTTTTCTTGGCGTTTAGCCGTAACCCCAGCTCTTTCCTGTGGGCGAGAACGACATCTCGATGCCGAACCGCCAACTGATGCGAATGAGCTAAAATCAACCAATCGTCGATGTAGTTCATTATGCGAATACCCTGCAGACGCAGAGGCGCCAGGGCTGCATCTACGCATTTCGTGAAAGTGCGGGGTGACAGTGCTAGGCCGAACGGAAGAACTCGATATTGGTATGCTTTGCCCCCGAAAGCAAACCTCAGGAACTTCCTGTGATATGGAAGGATGGAAATATGCGTCCTTGAGATCTATCGTGACAAACCAGTCCTTGGATCTGATCTGTGGCACGATTTGTCTCAACGTTAACATTTTGAATTTTAGTTTCATGACCGATTCGTTCAGAACTCTCAAATCCAAAATGGGGCGCAACCCCCCATCCTTCTTCGGAACGATGAAGTAACGGCTGTAAAACCCGGTGTCCCTGCTGGAGGGAGGTACATGTTCTATGGCCCACTTGTCCAGCAGGTTTCTCACTTCTTGTTCCATTACCAGAACCTGCTCGGGGTCCACCACGGTGGGTAGGACCCCCATAAACCTGGGCGGACGAGACCCAAACTGAATCTGATAGCCCTTTTCTATGGTCTGCAGGACCCAACAAGAAATATTCGGCAGTAGCTTCCACGCTGTCAAAAATTCTACTAGAGGTACCAGCCTCTCGAGACTGGTTTCTGGATTTAGTTTTAGGGGGCGGGCATCCCAGGACCACTTCGTTTCCGGGTGGACCCTGAGATGTGTGCCCGCCGGAGACCGCTGCGCCCTGTAACACACGAGGTGGCAGAGTTAGCATAACGGTCCCCTGATGGCACCGAAGGGAGACGGGCACCGTATAAAGAGGTGTTAACCGCTCTTCCCTCGGGGGGAACTGCCCTCGATGGCCTGCGTCCTCGGACGTCAGGACCTTTTCTTCGCAGCCTTCTTGGACATAATGACGGTCCTCAGATCCGTCTTACCCCCGAAGGCTGCTGCTGAGCGGGCTTCCCGTGTCCCCAGTTTTTCTGTGGGGGACCACGAGAAGCCACACTCTGTTTCTGAGTGGCTCGGTGTGAGGAGCTGGCTTTAGAAGTTTGGGGCCGCTCCCGCTCAGCGGCCCCGGAGACATGAACCCGACGGGGAAGGAGTTTTTGGAACGCCGCCGCCTGTTTGGCTGACTCCTGAAACCTCTCGACGACTGAATTAACGGCATCGCCGAAGAGGCCAGTAGTCGAGACCGGCGCGTCCATCAGAAAATGTTTATCCTTTTCTTTTATGTTGCTTAGATTCAGCCAGAGATGCCTCTCAGTGGCCACCGTCTCCTTGGCGGCCCTGAGAGACAAATCTGTCGCCCGACGCAGTTCGCAAACTGCATTCGGGCCAATCCTCCCGCCTTCATCCAAGTCTCCTAATATTTCTGCCTGGTAAGCCTGCAGCAACGACATCGTATGAAGACATGCCGCAGCCTGACCAGCAGCAGAATAAGCCTTTCCCACCAAACCAGATGTCACTCTAACTGGCTTGGTGGGTAACACCGGGGCTTTAAGGGAAGATGTAGATTCAGGGGAGAGATAGCTCGCGAGCGTCTCCTCCACCTTTGGCATCTCCCCATAACCATGATCTTTATATTGGTATATATTGGAGTAGTGAGATGTTTGTGCACTGTATACTCTGGACGAAACCGGTTTCTCCCACGACTTCGACACCTCAGTGTGAAGATCGGGGAAAAACGGAAGCCCCCGGTGTTGAGGTTGTGCACGAGAGGGCAGGAAG